GGTGAAAGAATACAACCTTGTTGCACACTATTTTCAATTTTAAACCATTCAGCGTTCCCATGTTCTGTTCGAACAACTGCCTCTTGGTCCAGGTACAGATTTCTCATGAGCACAATTAAGTGTTCAGGAATACTCATACTTCACAATTGTTGTCCATAGCTTGTCATGATCCATACAATCGAAAGCCTTTGTGTAGTCAATAAAGCACAGGTAAACATCTTTCTAATAATCTCTGCTTTCAGCTAAGATCCATTGATATGGCAGATTGTTAATGAGTCTCCCTTCGATCCTGATGCCATGATAGAGACAGAAAGCATGAAATTCAATGGGATGGAAACAGAAGAAGAGGAGGAGGAAGAATAACCAAACTTAAACAATGGAATAACAAAAGAAAACAAACAAAAACCCAAATAATAATAAAACAGTGCAGCTGTTGGACCCAGAAAAGAGAAAACTCCTGCTAATCAAGACTCTCATGAGGTGGATGGAGGAGGAATGTGCCAACAAAGTTCCTGGTCCTAGATGGAGTTCCTGTGTCCTCCATATATGTTCAGGGCACTCAATCCAGAAGTAGTTCATGGAGGCCCTATGGAGCTGGTTTCAGCATCAGGGCAACAGTGGAGTTGGTGGCAGGATGCCTGGTTAAATGCTGGTCTGGTGACTTTGTCGGTTCTGTAGGTCTGGACTAAGCCCACCATTTTACCTTGAGATTGAGTACTTATCCTATGGTGCCACACCAGTGTTCCAATTTGAATTAAGGGGTGTACAACATATACTTTATGACTTGTATGTTGTACTGTGGTAGCTTGCATGTTGTTATAATTCTGGAAGCTATACCACTGGTATTTTAAATACAGCAGGGTCAGACATGGTGGACAGGTTCAGATGAGCTTCCAGATGCAGAGGGCAACTACTTCCAAATATTTAGTCACTGAAAATCTTAAGAATAGCAGTGGAACTCTGTCAGATAGCACCAGAATACTGACTGTTGAAACAGGATGAAGAACACCAGAATACAGTCAGATATAGTGCAAGAAGATGAGCTCCTTAGATTGGAAGGCACTTAAAATACAACTGGGAAAGAGCTGACTCCTCAAAGTAGAGTTGAACATGATGATGTGAATGAGTAAAGCCTTCAGCACTTTCATTTGCTGATGGGGCACAACTCAAAATGAAGAGGAAAAGCTGTAAACATCCATTAATAATCAGAACATGGAACGTACAAAGTATGAATCTAGGAAAATTGGAAATTGTCAAAAATGAAATGGAACACAAAACATCAATATCCTAGGCATTAGGGAGCTGAGATGGACTGGTATTAGCCATTTTCAATCTGACAATCACATGGTTTACTATTGTGGGAATGACAAATTGAAGAGGAATGGAGTCACATTCATCATCAAAAAGCACATATCAAGATCTATCTTGTAGTCTAGTGCTATTTGTGATAGGATAATA